GGAAGAGCACAATGATGGTGCCAACTTGGGCCAGTGAAGCAACGTCCTCCACAACTAGATTGAAGAACAAAACGACAGCAACTTGCCTGTTCCCCTTCCCCCAATTCCCCAGCACTGTTCCCATCCCCTCAATTCCCCAATAAAAATCTTAAAAAAAAAAAAAAATAGCCCTGGTGACAGAACTCACAAACAAAACAAAACCAATCCTGAAGGCTAAGACTCAAGCAATGTACACCTGACTTTTATGTAGTATATTAACCCTCATGTCTTTCTTCACATGGATTACATATCTCAGTAATAAAGGCAAGTATATTTATCTTGATATTATCATTATTCTCCCTTTATTTTAAATAAAGAGGATAAAACTGTCAATTTCCCTGAGAGTCCAGATGGGAGAGACCACATCATACTCATCGTTTGATTTGCAGCAGTAAAAAGTGTTTTGCATATATGAAATTGTATTTCTATTCTTCTTAAACTCAAGGTAGCCACAAAGTTATCACATCTACTCTTTTCCCAGTAAGTACATGTATGGGGAGGAGGTTTCCATGGGAAAGGTAAGAGCTTTCCCTCAAAATATTTCATTATAGAAAGAAAAAAAGAACACTCTTCCTAACAGGACTGCTGTCTCCATAAAGTGGGCGTGCAGAAGATGAGGTAATGATTATCACCAGATTAACAATTAGTACTTTTTGAAATTATGACTTCTGTGAGGCTGACCGAGTAGAAATATACACCTTCTGGGGCTTCCACTGCTTTTGGAAGAACTAACTAGAACTAACTAGCACCATTCATTAGGATGCAGTCTAAAGAAAACTGCGGAGGTTTTCAAACATGTACAATATTATACCTTTCGTGAACATTTGGTACTGTGAAGTTACCAAGTGTAGGACAGCTATAAATACTCAGATTAATGTGTAAAATCCTAATAAATACTGAGGAACTTACCTAGATTTATCCAAATTCCACCTGGCTTGAGTATTTTCCATATTGTGTCAATATAATCAATTACATTGTGAGCTGTGTCTATGAAGAAACAGGTAGCAATACAGTCCCAGGTATCTATTCAAGGAAAATCAAATTACTACATTTGTAATGTTATTTTGACTTTTAATTAATTCTACAAATGTACCAGTTATCTCTTACAGAGTATTTCATTTAACTGCAATGATATAGAAGCTAAATTGTTCCAATCAACTACTATAATCAAGGTAACCCAATAATCATTTATGAGATGCTTGGTAATTCATAAGTTATTAATCATTTTATAATCAATTTGGAAATCATTTTTGATAACCTATATCACTGTATATCTTTACCAAATGATATTTATGTTTTGTTTATAACCTATTCAACTTCTAGCCTTCACTTAAAATCAGTGAAGATGAAATCAGTCATTTGAATTTTAAAGTGTGACTTCAACCAATGTTTACCAATTCTGAAAGGTTTCAGAAAGATTGCATGGACTTGTTGGCAAATGAAAACGAGTGGCATCAAAATACTTAGAACATCCACCAGTTCTTCGGAGACTCCCTAGTGAAAATGGAGGGTGGAAGTAATCAGAGCAGGGGGTAGGAACCCAGCAGAGAACACGTGGAGGCTCTGGGCTGGCACACGGATAGACTGAACTGAAGGTGGGTGTCTGTACAAATGCTGGTACAATAAAAACACTGATCCAACCATGGGTTAACAACCTTCACCCATCTCTCTCAAACCTTGCTTCAAAAGAAAGTCGCTTTTCCTTGCCAAAGTGATATTTTCCATTATTTCACTCCTACTTTGAGACCTGATTCCTACTTTATCCCCAACACCTAACATCTTGCATCTCTCTCTACCTTCCCAGCACAGGTTTTCCCAAAGTCAGAGTTCTGGGAAAAATGAACAAAACCTTTACTATCTTGTTACTTTCCTGCTCCAATCCCTGCCAGGCTTCCTGTCTTTCTCAGAGTAGAACTCTGCCTCCCCAAACCCTCTCCAGCCTGATCTCCCACCACTGTACCCACTGCTCACTACCACCTCTGCCAAACAGCCAAAAGAACGCTCTAGCTCTCTTGAGCAGAACAAGCGCACTCCCAAACCCCTAATCCTCCTGCCTTTGCCATTCCCTCTGTCTGCAACATTTTCCTCCAAATATCTGAACGGCTGGCCTCTTCACTTTTTTGAGGTTCTTTGTTCCATGTTGTTTTTTTCCCCAGTTCTACTCTTAGGACGGTCTTCCCTGATAACTCTATATGACACAGCAGCCCCTCCCCAGTCCCTCATTGTCCCTTTTATCCTTAGTTGTCTTCCTCACAATGTTAATTTGTGATCGCCTCTCCCTATTAGAACACATAAGGTTCCCCATATACAAGAACTTTGTTTTGCCCACTGCTCTTTCCAATGCCTAGAACATATATGCTACTTAGCAGGTGCTCAACAAATACTTGTCAAATGAATGATTTGCTGATGCCATTACCATCTCCTTTTCTTTAATGCCTAGCTCAAATTTCTTCACTAGTTTGCCAGGCTGAAGTCCATACTTCACAGCCTGATTAAATCAAGGTCCCTCCACAATCTGGAAACAACCTACTTCTCTAGTCATACCTCTCATCAAATCTCCAAACAAACTTCCCTTTCCCTCCCTTCCAATCAGGTTGTTGTACCATCCCCAATGACCTTATTCATGCGAATCTCTGTGCATCTGCCTGCCTGGAATGCCACCCCTCTTTATCCTTCAAGTCACAGCCTCTCCACAAAGAACTCCCTTCTCACACTAACCCATTTCTACCGTTACTGCATTCATTACTCATTTGAACTTTGTTTACATGAAGCCTTATATTAATAGACCCAACAGTCTAAATTGCTTAATTGTGGGACCTTTTACTTCTGTATATTTCCCATCATTGCCTTTTATATGACCTTGAAAATATTCTAAATTGTCATTGAAGTATATACCTCATATTTTGTCATCAAAATGTACGCCCAAACTATGGCTCAGTATAAAATTAGTTCATTCAATTTAGAATAAGGGACAAGACCTTTAAAACACTTGCTTTAGACTTACTGCATTCTGAGTATATCTCCTGAAAATCTCCTGCTGTCATAGAAAAGTTAGAACCAGGAGGAAGACTGTGGGGGTCAACATCAGGGAAAAAGATGGGTCGAATCTGATCAGCTGACCTCCGGTTATTGCTAAACTGGTGGATCCAGGGATAAAGCTTATATTTATTAATTTCAGAACATCTGCAAAATATGAGCATAAAATTCAGTGTTAACTAAATATTTTACCAAAAAAATCTACTTTAAACACTAAAATATAATCTGTTTGATTGAAGGTTTACTTATATAATTCATTAATACTTAAAAAATGCTACCACTACCACCCCCCACACTGTTATCTGAAAAATGCACATATACATGCAGATGAGTAACCAATAATGAATTAAAAAACAGAAAAAAATTAAATTCTGAGATATGTTATTCACTCAAAGTTTTAAAAATGTATTTCCGAACTTCAAACTCAAGTAAAGAATAGTCCAAGTATTTTTTCCAAAGTGGTATGGGTTTTGTTTGCTACTTATTTTAATTATGCTGTACAACCCTCTCCCTTTTACCTTCTCCTTATCCCCTAACTCATACTGCCACCAAGACAACATGTTTTTTAAACAGGCAGCTATTACTTTTTCTCTAACACTCCTCTTCTGGCTTTAAAAATAACAACTCTTTTCCACTACTTACTAAAAGAGGCCACTGAAGTTCTGAGAGATCTCTCCAACTCAGTCATGTGAGCTTATTTGGCCATTTTATAAGAATTTGATTAAGAGGAAAGAAGTTATAATTGCTACACTGCACTCTTATTCCACTGAAGAAACAAAAGGGTGAAGAAGTTTACGAAACAATGAGAAAATATTCCTTCCTGGATTATACTTAGTCCTGAAATTCTGCACAGAAATCATTTCGCGTTCATGGAATGCCAAATCACTAAAGCCACTTACCCATCCTGTTCAAAATTCTGTTAACTAGGCAACTGATTAAAACGGATAACTGTATATAAGCAATTTTATTTTAATATAATATCTATGATATATACCATAATTAAGTACTATGTACTTATCTTCAAATTCAGAATTGTTCAAAAATAGGTAAGTCAATCTGATTCTGAGAAATTACTATTTCTAGCAAAAAGTAAATTAAATACCTGTTGAGTACAAAGTTGGAAGAAAAGAGCATAAAAAAACTCCATTCATTTCCTTGACAAGCATAACCTAGCATAGCTATTTCCCAGGCCAGTCTTCCTAGTCCAGCACCAGGTACCAGAATATTTACTTTAGAAGGATCCCTGAAATGAAATAAGGCAATTATGTCCAACCCCTTAAAGAAAAAAAAAAAGACAAAATCCACATTAACAACTAGAAACTTAGATATTTAATAATAAGCTCACTCAAGACTCTACTTAAAATTGAGAACTACTTCTAAATATCAATGAAAAAGAAAAGTATAAGGAATTATATGTTCAGATATCAGGTGAGGGTTTTAGTCCCAAAATATTATTTTTCAGAAAAAATGTAGTCACCTTTTTTCTGAAGACTTATGAAGACACTCAGTCCTAGCAGCTGTCACCTGAACAACTGTCTTAGGAAGACAAATTATCCCAAAGGGATCCCAATATGTACAAAGAAATTGAACAAAATTATTTTATCATGAGACAGTAAAAGAAAACTTAGCTTTATTTCTAAATTCTATATGTAATACATTGGTTTATGTTAACTATTAAATAGATTAAATATATATAAATTTTAATGTGTCAGGTATATCTTTAAAAGCTTCTATTTCAGTTGGCAAAAGAATTGGAGGAGGGGATATTCTCATGGGGAAAATGGGGAGCTGCCTTCTAATTGATACGACATACGTATCATACCAAACCAGTGGGATACAACCAAACTGTTCTCCACTTATTAGCATCACTCTACCACAACTTTACTTTGCTATAAAATCCAATATTCCACTTTCAAACTGCTAAAAATTAGCCTTGTCAAAGCAAGGCTTTCTCTGGGCTTCTGGTAAATCACTATAGCCCTAAAGAAACTAAAATAATATTCTTACAGAAAACCAAAGAAAAATGTGTGATCAGCTGTCATGTCAATTAAAAAGGAATTTCATAATTGTCTGTAGTCCCCAAATTTAGTTCATAAACCAAATCCAATTTCCGAATCTACTCCTATGTACAATTCTTTTCTATCTTTAAACTACATGGTCTTTAAGTTTAACGGTGTGCTCCAAACAGCACCAGGGCTGCTTACTAGTCGCCCCTATGATAACCTTAGCATTTCCCACTTTGGAATGAAAAAGAAACAAACTATGGAGCTTTTGGAAATTCTGTCTACAAATATAGTAACATGGGAATTTTCCTGGGATCATTCAGTCTTAAATATGTATATATGGAACATGTATTTGTATAACAACCTTAACCAAGTTTATTTAGTTTGTTTCACTGTTGAATTTTACGTATACGGTAAGGCATAAACCGAAATTTGTTAAAAATGGTTTGACAAATAGGATTATGATTAGTAAGACATCCTTTAATGCTTGATATGGGCAAACTAATGCCAAGGTGCCATGTGATAGTTTTCACTAAAATGCCTTCTTCTCATTCTAGACTATACACAATGTGAGTGTGCGTGTGTGTGTGTGTGTGTGTGTGTGTGTGTGTGTGTGTGTGAACACTAATTTTTAATGAAAAGAATGGGTACATCTTCTCACTTTGTTCAGGCCTACCTATACGGTCATCTAAGAAAAACATACAAAATTTGAATATTAGAGTTTGAAAAACTCCTAGCTGTAGAACTCTGTGCTACCTCTTATATGAAGGACTGGCCACTGAGGCACCCACCCAGGCCTCTCTGTCTCATTTCCCAACCCCAGCAGACCCATCCAAACTCTTAACTCTCCAGAATTACCTCTTTTTTCAGTTCCCATTTGCCCAATCAAAAAACATGCATTTCTCCCAAGTGGCTGTTTTCAGCTTAGATTTTTTTTAAAAAATCAAAGCAATGCAACAGAAAGAAAAAGGATTTGCAAATAAATTCACAAAGTACTTAAATCTTTATAAAAATAATCACTAAATCAATTTCTGAATGGCTAATCATGATTCTTAATTGCTGATCATGAGTAAAAAAATTGCCGCGCAGAAGCACCTAAATGAATCTCAATGGCATGGAGTAAAAAAGCCCATTTTAAAAGGGTAACATTCTATATGGTTCCAGTTATGACTGTCTCAAGAACACAAAACTCTAGTGTGATAGATGAGCAGTTACCACAGGTTAAGTGTGGGGAGTGTGTCAATATGAAGGGAAACATGAGGGTTTTTTGAGGAGTGATGAAACTTGTTTCCTGTTGATGGTGGTTATGAAAATCTACATGTTAAATCTCTTAGAACTATACACCAAAAAGGTAAATTTTACTGTTAATTAAAAAAAATACCATGGAGAAATTATAAATCATGTTAAACTTAAGGACAAGTTGTGTTAATAATGGTACCAATTATTTTATTAACTTAAGGAGTCAACTTTATTACTGCTGTTATCAAATTCTCCCTAACTAATCACATAGAACTCTCTACCCCCACCTTGTGGCAAAAATTTTCTGCATAAAACTTCTATTGAACAGCTGTCATCAAGCCCAGGAACACAGAATATATCAAGGCCCTATCTTGAGGGCCTTGGGTTAGTAGAAAGCTATCTATTATTTGTATTATGACAAAAAGGATCTCAGTGGGCATATAAAGGGAGACATTAAAACAAACTCTCTAGAATTGAAAAAATGATCAAGAATTAAGCAATGAATATGCAAGATGAATAGAGATTTTCCCTAAATCTTTGTTCTTAGTTTGTTTTTTTTCATTTGGGTCTTTATATAAGGCATATTAATGGCATAATGGAAAGTTCCTCTAATTATAATGTATATGAAACTAAGTCACTCTAAAAAGCAGTTTTGGCTATGGATCCTTATAAAGTCTAGGACATTTATTTCTATGAAGGTATTTCTGTGGAGAATAAGAGATACATAAATCTAACTATAGACCTTTAGGATGAGCTGAGTTTAACCTCAGCTAAAACTTGGAAAACCAGGAATAGAGGCATATAATTAATATACGGCTCAATGATCAGATATTGACTGCTGGAGGTTCTTAGCAAAACTAAGTAAGCAAACAAGTTTACCTAGTTATTAAGGTCCAACTATGAAGAAGCAGTGTACTATAAATGCAACACCCCTGGATAATAATGGTAGGCGTCTCAACAGTTTATTCCACACAAGCAAGGAGAAGGAAGGGTACATCTGTAAGGACAGAACAGAGCGCCACTGTGTCTTAAGAGGCTGTGGATCCCGTTTGCATTATCCCCTGTGCTCTACCTATTTTACCAGCAGTAAATGTTCTTCAGAGTGGTTTCCTTTATTGGACACAATGATTTTGGCATTGCAGTTGCAGATTAGCAAATTACAAAACAAAATACTTTCTCTTGTTGGGTCAACATGACACTTGGCTGACCCCTGGTGGTAGAAGTATGCACTACCTTCAAGCATCAAAAGGGTTCATTCAATTCTGATTGAATCATAGCAACATACTGTCCAACACAGTAAAAGCCACTAAGCTACTTGTGGCTGGCTACTGAACACTTAAAATGTTGCTAGCTCTAATTGAGATGTGCTGCAAGTATAAAATGATACCAGATTTCAAAAACTTAGTATAAAAAAAGGAATATAAAATACCTCATTAATAATCTTGTATACTCAAGTCGAAATATTTTAGATATACAGGGTTATTAAAGTGCATTAACTTCACTCATTTCTGTTTACTTTTATATAGCTATTAGAAAATTAAAAATAACATGTCGTTTGAATTATATTTCTATTGACCAGAGCTGGTCTAAACAGAGAAATTGTAAAAGCACAACTTTCAGCAAAAAAAAAAAAATTTGTGAAATGTCACAAACCACTACATGAACTTTTAAAACATACAGGATAACATATGTATTTTTAGGGGTATATGAGCATATAGTTAATGTACGAAGGTAAGATAAGAGTAACAAACAATTCATGTTCATTGTTATCTCTGGAAATAGAGAAGAATGTACTCTGTATGTGGTTTGCAGGGCAGTTTCAACTGTACCTGTAATGTTTCTTTAAAAAAATACTCCAAAAAATCTTAAGTAAATATAACAAAATATCAAAGTTTAATAGAGCTAGTTGTTGTAATACTGTTTTAAGTAGAAAATGGGTTGAAATCAGGATTAGGATTTAGCCCCTTCAAAAATACAGTCCCAACTTACCTCTTACTCCCAACAAAAAAACTCCATGTATCAGCCAAACTTCTCACCAATTCCATAAAACACTTTCTCACCTTAATTTTTAGAGCTCCTACACCCCCATAGAAACTCAGGTTAAATTATCGCCTTATCGATGAAGTCTCTCCCAAATATCCCGGGCAAAGCTTGAGCTCATTTCTCGATGCTTTCAGTACTTCATTCATACCAGTTATATTGTAGTTTATATGTCAAGTTCTTCACTTTGCTTCTTTCATTTAATACAGGAGTCAGTAAGTGTGACCCACAGGCTAGTCATCTGTTTTTGTAAACAAGGTTTGATTGGAACATAGCCATTAGGTACTGTCTATGGCTGCATTCCTATGACAACAGAACTGAGCAGTCCACAGAGATCACACTGCTGGCAAAGCCTAAAATATTTACTAGCTGGCCCTTTAAGAAAAAGTTTACCAATCCTGATCTAAGGCATCTTGAACCTCTTTCCTTATCATTACACAGAACTTTCTTAATCTGTTTTATGGCTGAATAAGTATTCTATTGCATGATCGTACAATAACGTTATAAAAACCTGCTAATTAAGAACATTTAGATTTTTTCCTGTCTTTTGTTAATCTGTTAAAACTAATATCCTTACATACTTTCCCACATGCAGGAGTATATGTATCTGTAGAAAGCTTCTCCAAGACTGAATGTCAAGAGTCTTTTAAAAGACATACATTTCATTTTTCTTAATAATTACCAAGTTGCCTCCATAAAATTTTACTAATTTATTCTTCCATCAGCAACATGTGTTTCCTTGCATTTTCACTACGTTATATACCTTCTAAATCTTCACAATGTAGTAAGTGAAAAAAGGCATCTCAGTGAGGCTTTTACACTTGCATTTTCTTATGAGATTGAGCATCTTATATTTCCTTTTCTGTGAATTGTCTACTTAAACTATTTTTCTATTAAGTTATTAGTATTGAATTGTTTTTCCACTGAGTTATTACTCTAGATTTGTTTAAGCACTTGAAAT